GACACCAGTTATGCAGGTTGATTTCTTGAGGTGTTTTTTGACCCAACAGTGCTGCCAGTGCAGAACTGTTAGGGCTTTGTGTACACCCAGACACCAGGAAATGCTTTCTGGATTTAACTAAGTAGGAATATCTTGCCTCTGCAACACAAAGCCTCCAGCTGAGCTCCAAGATCAAAGCACATGAGACCCACCAACCCTCAGCACCCATTCCACTACCTGCCATTAAGAGCCAACCTTAAAGCTCAAGATGCTTGCTCATTCCTCCTCTAAAGACTCGACTGTCTTAAACAGCAGCAAGGACAGACTACTCCATAAAAGAAGGCAAGCAAGGAGCCAAGAGTCACAGCCTGGCAGGCAGCGGTGGAAACACCACCAAAAAAACCCAAAAACCAACAAACAAAAACCCAAAACAAAACAAAAACAAACCCACAAAACCCCCAAACAAACAAACAAACAAACACCACCACCACCCCCCCCAAAAAAAAAAAATCCAGGAAGTTGAGTCAGAGATTCAAGATAAGAATCAGGTCTTGAGACAGTAACCAGGATCAGACTCCGATCAGCCATATCAGAGGGTAATTCAGTAAGTCAAGCCGGCAGGAGGAGAGTGAGAATCAGGAGGTACAAGACTGGGAACAAGTGCAATTGCAACACTGCTGCAGAGTAGCTCAGGCAAAGGTCAAGCACAAGAGCTCCAGGTTTAAAGCCAGCACCAAGTGAAGGAGAGGAAGCCCCCACTGTGGCTCTTTAGCAGCAAGCAGCTCCTGGACTAGGGGTCTCAGCAGCAAACTGGTCTCTAATCAGCATCTGAAAGGGGTCGTGACAGCTTGTCACTTCAAGCAAGATCAACAGCCATAAAGAGCAAATCCAGCATTGGGGAAAAAAAAAAAAAAAAAAAGGACAAGAAGGAAGCTACATCTAGGAGCTGGTTTTGGGTGGAAAATTCATCTCACCTAAGGCTTTGCATGTAAGCTCGCATGAATCATGGAGGAGGGAATTTTAAACACAGTCTTTTTTTCAGTTGCTTAACTTACGCTCTACCATTTCAGGCTGCTGGATGTTGTTAACTCTATTCCTGTAACACAATGATCCTTGTGAACTAACAAACCATGAACTTCCGCATCTACAGTTAGACTCCTCTCCTGGTTCTGGTACTTAAAACTTAGCCATACCAATGCTGAGTTCCTTTGTGTGAACCTAGATTTTACTACATAAGTAAACTGGATGCATAAAAATATGCAGGTTGGTTAGTCTCTCCAGCATACACCAAGAGGCTAGAATCAATTTAGTTAAGTGGTTCAGGGAAGAGGTCAGCCATTCCTGTTTGGATTCATTTTTTTAAGTTTATTTTACCTTTAAAATTCAAGGGTCTTAAAGACAATAATAAAATATTCCTAAATATTTTAAGCTCTCTATAAGGAGAGAGATATATATATGATAATGTTTGTAATGAAAACCCTTACTCACAAATTTGGATTTTGCAGTCTGAATCTTGTAAGTTTAATTGGAGGCTTGCTAAAATCTGTTTCTGGTACTAAATTGGGGATTTTATTTCAAAATTCCTGCTTTCTGGAAAAAGAAAAAACTAATAAAAAGTGTTTTCATTTGGCATGTAATCCATCTCATTCATTTCATTGTGCCAAATAAGGTGGAAATGATCACACAATGTGGTAAAAATCCTTAGTCCTTGTAAGTCTTGTTTTCTTTAAGTTAGTAGTTGATCCCAGTAGCGTAGTGATCAGTTCAAATTAATGAATTATGATAGCAATTTGAATTTGATAAAGTTCTATGGTACTACCATGAGATTATTTCATTTATTGAGGTATCACAACCGGCCAAAACTCCTCTTTGCCTCTTACCGTACTCTTTTGCATGTCTGGATATGTGCTATGAAGAAAGACAAACCTATTTCTGTCAACTACACAAGCTTTACAGGAAAAGATTTCTGTAACACTTCGATTAAAAACTTTCCCTTTCTTACCCATTCTGTACACACAACAAGAGTCAACTGTCAAGGAAACTCAAATCTTCTTAGATCAATGGTCTACCTTACCAGGGCCTCTGCAGAAGTTTCCTGACCCATCTTTTTACCCTTCCTTGGAGATCTGTAATAATTTCCTACAAATGTTTTACTACTTCTTTTAGCTACACTTTGTTTGTCACATTAGCTAACCCACATATGTAATTTTACTCAGAATACCATAATCTCTAACTAGATCTCCACAACACTTTCCATCTTCTGAATTTATCCCTTTGGTAAATTTATACTCTGGTATTTTTATATTAAATCACTTAACCAAGAGCCAGTCATATTTCTACTTTAAATGTTTATTTGTTTGTTCTGAAGCATCACTTCATGTTCCTCACATTTTTACACAGATTCTCTTCATAAAAGAAAGTGAACTTCATTTTTCTAAGCAATGCTATGAATTTGTATTATTCATTTTAGCAACGCAAAAAATTACTTACGCTTTATAAGATGGCTAATCTCTCTCCCATCTTTCACTACCTATCCTTTTGCTAAAACAACACACATAAAACTGAATACTAAAATTGCAAGACTACTACCCTGCTAATTTCTTATACAGATATAGCCTGTCAGTTCTAGATGACTTTGGATTGGCCCCAAACAGAAGAAAATATTCTGGGTAGTATAATCCTGCATGGAACAATGTGATCTGTATAAAAAAATCACTTACTGAATCACCAGCACCTCTTTCCACTCCTAGGAGATCTCCCATCGAAGCAATGCCTAAATTAGTGCAGAGTGATTTGTGGCTTTCCAGCTGTCATTCATTAATTCTTAGGAAATACAATATACAATACAATAGTACTCACCCTGAGGTATTTTGCAAATTCATTTGCTGAATGTTCTTTAAACTTGTTTTCAAACAACCACTGTAGCCTATTACTTCTATAACCCTCCAAACACATTTCACTCTTGATGAAATATTGTGGCAGTCACACAGACCGATAAAGGGGGAAGGGTAGGGAATTGTGTCTGTGGAGAGTTTGGACTATGAAACACCATCTGAGTTGAAAATCAGGGTTTTTACTCCAGTGCTTTGCCATTCCTCTATCTTTTTCAGAAGGTACAGGAAAGCCTGACAGCAAGGGCCAGAAGTGACCTGGGCACTCTGATCCACTGGCTTTGGCACTTCACGGCATGGCTGACCTGTAAAAGTTGTCCTGTTTTAGAAGGAAAATTGCTTAACTATAATTCACTGAGTGGCTGCCTTGTTTTGACCTGAGACGAGAGGATGTTGTGAGGTGCAGACCATATTGGAGGATCCAAGAGCCTGGGGATCTACCTTTAGAATGAGCCAAGGAGCTGCTTACACAAAGCCAGTCAGAAAGACTTTGTAATGCCTGCTTCATCAAGGACTTTTGGCAAAATCTATGACAAGTTCAGCTCAGCCAAAACCACTGCACCTTTAGACATGCACTGCAGGAGAACTTGAGCACAGAGAGAAGTTTTCTGCTGGGTCTCAGGCACCCCTGGCTTCCCAGAAATCTGAGAAAGTTGCATAGGGGTTTCCTTTTAGGTCTTTTGCTCTTTGAATTTACATGTTAATTATCCTAAACTGCATATTAGATACCTAAGAGCTTTTTGCCCCTTTAACTCTTGCAAAGTTGATTTCCGCAGTAAATAAAAAGACAGAAGCAAGAGGCTAACTTGAGACAAGAATCACAACAAATACTGGGGTTAAAAAAGCATAGCTATTGTTCAGTGTTTAGTAGGCACCATGACAGCAATTATGTTAAGGAAGGATTTGAAAAACAATGCTTCAACTACTTTTATGGCCGACTCCTCCCATGCTCAGGGGTTTTCATGCTTTTAGCTATTGCATCTGCAACTGAAGCTAACTGTGAAATTAGCAATTTATTTATCCCATGGTACACACACACAATTCCAACAGTAAAAGTGAGTAAGGGTGAGTGCTGTGAGTAAAAGTTAGAACCTTTCTTACTAAATTTTGTCCTTCACTATCGAATCAAATACCTGTGGATTCCCATATAGAAACTTTGTTCCTTCTTGTGGCTTATATCACTAATACTGTTAACACAACAGCTGTTTTATCTAAACAACATAATATGAGCTCTGCCAAAATAACTAAGGACAAAGAAAAGTTTGACCTTCAAAATGGTTGCCTGAATTACAAGGAAGCAGAAGATGCCATTAAGTATAAAATAGAACAATAAAGGCCTACAATTTGTAAACAGCTTTTGATTCTGTAATACTTAGTAAAAATTGGTCTCCTTAGGAATACATGTGCACATTAAGATATTTATAAAGATTATATCTTTACAAAAACCACACTAGAACCTGTAGTCTCTTTCTTGCATTCTGTCCTATTCTGAAAAATATATCAACATAAGGAAAAAAAAAATCTCTTATTAAAATTAACTATTTCTGATTATTTAGCCACAGATTTGAAAACTGATTAGATAAGACATAAGGTTGTTGCTAATCTTACTTGGAAGATATAACTGATAAAGAAAAAAAGAATAATGAAAGCATGTTAACAGCAATAAAATTATCTAGACAATTCTGTTTACATAATTACCAATAATCTGAAATCAAGATGTAATTGTGCATTATTCCATTTTATAGTTAGACACCTCTGCAAAACAGAAATTTTAGTTTAGTGGACCACAAATATACAGCTGTTCTAAGAAAAGTGGAATCTGAGATAGCAGAAAAAGTGTATTTTATGTCACTCTTTCATCTAGTATCAATGGAATGCAGTTTCCACTGTTTCTTAGTGATTTTGTATGAAATTGAAGGTAATAAATAGACAAGGATTGACATTTTCTAGTAAAAGCAAACGGAGTAATACCTATTGACAACCTGATGTATGAGCAATACTTCCTGAAAGTTTTGTGAGTGCCTTTTCCTCTTTTAATGATCTCTTTAAGAGTGGCATTTTTTAAAACTGCACATTTGAATTAAACTAAGACTCTTACTATTGTATATATAAAAAGAGAAACTGAGTTACCTGTATGGCTGTGAGGATATTGGCTAATGCCTGACCATACGTGTCATGACAGTGAACAGCAAGAGCGCTCAAAGGAATTTCTTTCATAACAGCTTCCAACATTTTTTTCATACTTCCAGGAGTCCCCACACCAATTGTATCTCCCAGAGAGATTTCATAACAGCCCATACTGTACAGGCGCTTAGATACCTGATTAGAAACAGAAAAACAGGAAGAGGTCAAGATAAAAGAATATAAAATAGCATCAAGAACATATATTTAAAAATACGTAATTCTGTACAGGTTTCAGGTTTTGACCTACTGAGGTGGATCTATCTATCACACACTCTCTATTCATTCTTGAAAATTTTCATCCCAGAAGATCCCATAGATCCTCTTATTTTAAATTTATAGTTCTGCTTCTGTACGTGGAATAACCAACCAAGCCAAATCCATCAAAAACTCTCAGAGAATCCAAATAAGCAAAATTTTAACACTATGAATTTTCTGTCAAGCCCTTTCCCAACATTTTCCTCTCTCTGGGGACTTCCCAGCTGTTTGGTTTTCTTTGTGCACTTTTCAGCTTGTAAGCTGTGCAGGGTAAAGACCTGCTTATTACATGAAGCCAAGCACATGGCCAAACTAAGACAATAAGTAATTAACAAGAAGCCTGATTTTGCTTTCTCTTGGCACTTAAAAAAATCAATGAAAACTGAAGTTTTAACATGTTGCAGTCAATATTAATTTTGCAATATTAATTTTGTTTGCTTTTCATGAAATCAAACACTTAAACACTAACAAAGCAAAACTGCAACTTAATTAACATTCTAGTCCTTAAGTTTTAAAAATTTTCTTAATACCAAACAAAACCGTATACAAATAGATCTTTCTTATGTAAGTAGAACCCTAAATATTTCTGGAATTATATCTTTGAAGAGTTCTTTGCACAAGTAAAAGAACTGGGGCCTGGCTCCATAATTTTTGTATGAAGAAGCACAAAATCATGTTTTCACTGACAATATTGCTTTGGAAATTGAATTCAGGATATTTCCATCTTATTTTTGTTGAATTTATTTGGAAACCTTTCATCTTACTTTCAGCTGCTGAAAATGTTTGTCTCCTTTAGGATTCCCCGTTGTGTATTAATGATCCCAAAAGACCACTCCACTGGAACAGAATCCCAGTCTAGATTTTTAGAAATGAAAAAATACAACCCTTTTCCAAGACATCTTCAGTTGCACTGCACTCTGCTGTTAAAGCAATTCAAGGACTTCATCAGTGGGATTGCTGTGAATATGTCGGAGGAAGCTGACAAAGTGCTGCACCAGCAGTCTTGGAAGTGCTGGATTAATATTGCTGTTCACTTAATTCAAAGAACAGCTGAAAAAGAACTTCACATTGTCTGAATCATCCCGCTTAAGGCTTGGGAGTGCTATGACTATTGCAAATGTAGTAAAACTGTGCTTTAAAGTCAGACTCACTGGTTCATATCAACACAAATTCAACATACATTTTAAGAAGGGGATAATCACCAGATTGCAAAATGGATTCTATCACATGGCATATTTTTGTATCATCAACACATGGCAGGCATTTTAACTGGACTACCATTGTAAGCAAGAACACGATCATCTGCAGTTAGGGGTGGATTACATCCAGCTAATCCCCAAACCTCAGCTTTTCTTTAAGATCAGGGTAAAGGAAACAGATGGCTTTTTTTTTTCTCCTGTTCTTTCTAAGTCATGATTCAAAGTTCTTCTAGATGAGCATTTTAGTGATAAGTGAGACTATATAAACTGCTAGAAATCTTATTGCATTCACTTCTTTTCCATGTTCAGTCCTTAGGTCTTTCACCCTTCTGAAAACAAAGTTCTGAAATATGAAAGAAGAGAGGATGAAACTCTGCTAACAAGTTCATCATCACCACTGATGTCATGATTTAACCTTAAAGTGACTCTTAGATCTATATTTATTCTCAAGAAGAATGTGCATGTTTGGAAGCTGAATGGGAGTTTTTCAAACTGAATTTTCTATTTTACCATAGTAGGAGGCATCCCATTAGTTATTTTTTGTCAGTTTTCAATGTGGATTTTTGGGAGGAGGGTGTGGGAGAAGAGAACACAGTTTTGTCAATGTAATTAGGATGTGATTATGAGCTTGCAGTTTTGTTGATTGAATGGCATTGTGTTCTGCACCACTGAGCAGTTTTACTATGCATGAGTCTTATGCTACTCCCCTTGGGAACACTGCCCTGACACCAAGCATTGATCAAAGGAGCTCTTCTGTGTGAGGAGAGTAGTTAAAAAACAAGCCTGTTCAGGAAAGAAGCCTGTTGAGGAACACGGTAAGTAATATGTCATCACTGCTCAGATTAAAGCTGTGTCAATTCTAATCTTCACATTATTAGAACAAGTTAATTTAGAAATACTGAGTACCTTTCAAATTAGCTACTTTTTTTCAAAGACTGTGAGTATGTGTGGCTGCTGTGGGAGAAGTATTATATTATATATATCCAGGAAGTTGCCTCTGGAATGTATACTAGAAGAAGATACAGGAGAGGAGGACCTGAAAACCACCCAAGCAGAACATAATATATTAGACAAATGTAGACTAGCTGCTAGGGCTACAACTTAAAAGGTAATTGTTCGAGTATTCTGCTACATCAACAAAAATAAGTGATTAAGTGTAACAGAGAAGACAAGTCTATCCCTAGGTGGAAGGCCAGTGTGTTCTGCCTTCAGCCTCTTGAATTCTCTCTCCACTTTCTTTTTTACCATCCATTTCAGCTTTGATGCCTTCTTTGCCTTCCTACAAAATTTTACACTTGTGTTTCACTCACCTCTCTGCTGGGAAAAAAAGGCTGGATTAAGACATCTTCTTCCTTATCATTTATCCTAAAGGGGAAAAGGGGGCAGGAAGGGAAGGTGCAACTTACTCCATCATGGCAGCAGAGCAATTTAAGAAATCATATTGGGGCTGAGTTTTGGCTCATGTGTCAACCACATGATGCTCACCAGAAGCAAGTTGTAGCAGAGGCGCTACCAGCTGACAGCACAGTATTCTTATTCCAGCATAAAATGCATTTTAAAGAAAAAGGTGGTGCTGGAAACCATCTTGGACAACATGGTCCACTGACATATGTGCTGGAGTCTATTTCCTTAAGCATTTTCTACTTTCTTGCTGGAGAAAATAGAACATAATATTTTTTTCATGATTGATAATAACCAAAATACACTATTTTTCTCACATTTGACTGCACATGGTTGAGTGAGGTTATACACCCAGTTTTAGCATTAGATATATTTTGTCCTTGTTTTCCTTAATTTTTATCCATTAAAGATCTTTTTATGATTGAGAACATGACTTATAGACATTTTAAAATATATTTTTGATTCATTAAAAAGACAAGCCAGAAGACAAGCCAGAAGTTCACACTTACTTCTGCCACTTTAGCTGGTATGATGTTTCCTTCATATGGGCATCCCAATGCGCACGATACATACCTATAACAGAAAGAACACACAATGATACTTCTGTTTTATATATATATATATGTGTAAAAACACATGTATTCCTCTGTGTTACATTAAAGAATGGGTTAAATATAATTTTTAATATTTAAGACAATCAATGCAGAACAAATATTTGAATGGAAAGTTAAAACTACATCAGAAGAAAACAGCAGATTTATCAATTTTCCTTTTAAATCACACAACGAAGATTTATAGCTTTCTTTATGCCCAGTGTATGTCACAAGGTGTAAAGAACTGGCAGTGAAGCCAAGTTAATGATGTTGCAGGAGACTTCATTTTTCTTGGTATTTCCTTATGAAGTTGCAAGAGCGAGCTCAAGCTTTGCCTTGCCTAGCCCACAGAAGGTATTCAGAGGAAGATACCACTTTCTTCCTTGTATTACCTACTCGGATCAGAGAAAGCAACACGTGGACACAAACAACTTCTAACAACCCCACCATCTCATAAGTCAACAGAACTGTGGTGAATGAGGTAGTTTCCACCCTCTGTCTCTGTATTGGCATCTCTGTCCCATTTCCCCAGAAGAATTATAGTTCCACTGCAAACTGTAATTTAGGTAGGCCTTGGGACAAGAAGAAACTGAGAATCCAAACCATGTTCCTCAGCAGCTATTAGCTCCATAAAGCACAGAAATTGAAAGCCACAACCAAACTTCCATTGTTCAGTCCTTATGCTCTTTTAGCGTAGGATTTGGTTTAAATTTCCTCTTTTTAATGACAATTAAGAGCCATTAAATTCTAATTAAACTTCTAATTCTTTATCTTAAATTAGGAATACAATTAAACTAACAAGAAACAGCCAGTCAAAATCAAAAGTGTGATTTTAAAAGGATTTATAACACATTCAGAGGCAGGCAGAGTCCCAGTGGGAGGTTGCTCAATTGCTTTATGGAAGAACAAGAGCCTTCATCGATCTCCTGTCATTCCCTTTTGCTCAACATTGAAGGATATAATGTAAAATTATACACTGTATAATGCAAAAGGAATTGAACAGATGCCAGTTTGTATGTAGTCAAGGTTCGCAGGGTAAAGGATGTATTGTTTCTTTGCAGTTGAAGGAGGAAATGGCTGATAGAATGTGAAATTAGGATCAGTAACAGGCAAAAACAAATTGTGAAAAAAAGTCCATATATTAATGCACAGAACATATTACATCCCTTATATGAAAGTATGGTCTTGGCACGCTAGAAATAGAAGCAAGAGTGAAACAAACCTTGAATCTAAAAAGAACTTGATTAGCCCTGACAAAGAAATGGAAATTAATTTTGTTTCCATGAAAGTGGTTGGGTCCATTACATCTTGCTCATAATTTTAGTCCAGATGCCTACTAGGCATGGTTTTGATTATTGCTATGTCATTATGAAGACAAGGTTTTTTGAAACTTGGCCATAGAATTCATTAGATATCAACCCCAATTATAAATGTCACTGTTTAAATTTCAAAATTATGAATTTTCTTATCTACATTAAAGACAAAAAAGTAGCTACTGTAAACAGTTAAACACTCCCCCGATTTTCAGTGACACAGAACTCAAAAGCAATTCAGGATAATTTCCTTAATTTTTTTTAAGCATATAAAGTTTTTCAAATTAAACTAAGCATGAAAAATTTCAGACCCAAAGGATTACTTTTTACATAATACTACAGTGCCTAGAGCTAGTGAATACATATACTTACTGAAATTATTTTAAAAATTAACCACACCACTTTTTATGAAGTGATCAAGAACAGTGCTAAATACTAAGTAAATGCAAAACATACAGTACATATGTGCACATGTTCCCTTTACTTACATATATCTTTACAGGTTCCTAACGGTTACATATGTCAGATCAAGAAGACATGCATTTGGTAGTGATAATGTGGCATGAATGACATCTGGAATGGAGTAGGGCAAACAAAAGCAAAAGCAGACCAAAAGGTATCTAGAGAACAAGGGAATACTCCTGTGGTTCACACCAGCGAGCGGATTGCCTGAGCTCACATAATTCAGCTGGGCCTGCTGGGGTATGAAAGTATGTGGTGACCTGAGGAATCCGCCTACTACAATACACAAATCTGTTTGAGATTATGAACTCTCCCCATACTTATACCATTGTGACTAGACTGACATTTTAAACAAGGAAAATATGGCAGATATATCTGGGCATCTGATATTCAATATTAAACTGGAGAAAATAAGGATTACTGAAAGAATCTAACAGGAAAAGAACTTCCCACTAGAGAGATAACAAAGTCCTGTGGACAGTGAAAGAACAGTTCTTCAGTAGAGTTCATCAAGAATGATCTTGGCAGAATTTTATCTAACATTTTCATTTAATGAATTAGAATAAAAAGTAGAATGTGGTGATAGCATTAAATTTTTTGGCACTGTCAATAAAAAGAAGAAAAAAAAGGCACTCACATTCCACTGGGAACAGACAGGAGCAATAGAAAAGGGACTCAGTTGATGGCAATGACAAAGAAAGTGAAATGCTCAAAATGAGGCTATAAAAGAGCAAAATGTGCTCCAGACACATATCAGGATAAGCATTTTTATAAATGCTTAAAATATAAATAAATATAAATTCCTTTTGACAAGATCTTGCTGTATTCTTATTGGAAATAAGAGAAAATTTGAGCCATTTGTAGAAAAGTTCGTACAAGCTGGAACACAAGGGCTGAGTAAAACTAGGGATACAGAAAGCCCTAGCATACCAAAGGAGAAAATACACATCTGTGTGAAAGAGGGAAGATAATCATATGTCTGGTCTGAGTATTTGCCAAGACATCTACAGTGAAGCCAGAGTAGAGTGGGATGCTTTGTAATTGCATTTGTGTGGTTCCAAATTAATAAGCAAAAGTATGAGGAAATAAGTTTCACGAGGGAGGTAGATCTGTTATCTACGGATATGTTTGGCTGCTACTTTTTTTTTTTCGTATGAAATAACCCATAAGGCATCAAAATCAAGAGAGAATACAACCAAAGCAGAGCCCCAGGACCTCCACCCACACGCTTCCAAAATGGGAGACAACTTTGAAGAGCATGCTGAAGGACTGCTTAGAAAGAAGGAAATTACCAAAGCAGAGCCATGGAGAGAAACAGACAACAAAAAATTTAAAGAACAGTCTGGTCAACTGCAGCAAACACTACTGACAAGTCCAGAAGAATGAGAACAGACTACTGTTTCTGAGATCTTGTCATCAGGGAGTTTGGTGAGAGCGTTTGCAGTTGCAAGCAAGGAACAGAAGCCAAAGTGTAGGAGTTATAGGAGGGAATCACAGAAGAGGGTCCCCAGACAGTAATTATAAACAGCGCCTTCAATGAGCTTAGGAATGAATAAGAGATAGGAGATGAGATATGATATGAAGAACCAAGTAGGGTCAAAGGTGCAATTTTTAAGAGCAAATGCTTGCTTATATTGCAAGTGGAAAAGAGCCAGAGGACAGTGAGAGGTTAAGAAAGAGAAAAAGGGAGGGAAGAAATAGGAGGAAGAACAGAACATGGGGTCACTGGGGCAAGTGGAAGGGGTACAGATGGAAAGTAGACAAGAAACTTCTGCTGCTCTGACAGTAGAGGAGAAAGGATCAGGGGAGGGGAGAGAGAAGAAAGTGACAGAAGGAAAAGGATACTCCATCTATTTTTCTTAGGAGAAAAAGCAAGATCCTACATGAAGAAAAGCAGCAGAGGAAAACAGAAGAGTTTGAGCAATAAGTTGCAGAGGCAACTGGGATTTCATTTGGGAATTCAATTAAGCTGGAGAATACAGCTGTTTTCTAAAAAGATAGCAGGACTGAAAGAAAAAAATACAGTGTAATGAAAAAGACTATCCTAATCTCAGGATATTCACCAGACACACTCCACAGTATGAGAGTAAAAGCAAATTGAAAGTTTACAAAGCAGATTCTGCAATGGAAGTGTTTAATTCTAAGTATGTGCTTAAATCTCTGCTGAATCAAGGCCAGATGTAGCTTAACTACATCTTCAGCATACCATCAAGAAAAGAGCCCATGAAACCAGTGGTGGAAAGAAGGACCTGAAAGTGAACGTATGTATAGAGCTGCTTTAGAAACACATGGGTATATGCTGTTTTGCTCACTCAAGTTTTGTGAAATCAGAATTTCTCCCTTTAATAAAAAGTGATAAAAAGAAGTTTTCTGCTTGTTTCACCTGGCAGAGTTTACCCAGTCTCTTGCCTGTTCAACAGATTTCACTGCAGGTGAGGATCATTTGGTCTTCTACTGAACTGTTTTCTATGCATATAAAAACAAAAAAATAGACAATTTTACTGCATAATATTTTGCACAAAAATGCTGAACAGCCTCTGGGGATGAGGAGACAGAAGGAAGAGGAAGAGAGTTTTCAATTTCTTCCAGTAAGCCGAAACCAAATTGCAATGTTCCAGAAATGGTATAGACAGTATAAGGTCCCCACAATCAAGGTCACTAGGAATGGTGATGATCACCACACCAGGCCAATGTCTGTGAAGTAAAAAATATAAAACCTCAAACAGGGTAAATGAGCAAACTTTTCTTAACCAAAGGGTGTTAAAAGAAAATGAATCCAAGCAGAAACTGAACTCCGTGTTGTAATCAGCCCTTTGTCAGCTTGTTTCAGCAAGAGTTCCAGAGCCAGATCCACAGCTGCTACCACAGCTGGAAGCATGGAGCCTCCTGAGAAGCCAGTTGCAGACTCAGATGCTGCTGTTTCCTGTTTATTATTATAGTGTAAGTTTGCATATAATTTACCATGTTCACTGCAGATGTATTTATTTTTATTGGATGTTTGTGCTAAAATGTATATATGCCTCTCATTTGGTGAATTCATAATCTCAAGGTTGATATATTCTGTCTCTTTGCAAAGGAAGCCATTAGTTAAAAACAAGCAGTCTTTACTGTAAGCAGAGGGAAAACACAAGGAAGAGAAGAGAGAAAGGAGATTCTTTCAGAAACAGAATCTCCAAGCCAAGCCCAGAATGTGTAAATAAGGCCA